CATAAATCGTTTTTGTGTTTGGTTAATAAATTGCAAAACGGAAAAAAGTGGGTTTTTTTAGATTACTGTTGCTTCTTCGATCTGAAGTTTTTTATATGTATATTCTTGATATGAAAAAATCATGAATTTTGAAAAAAAAAATTCACAGGATATTTGAGAAAAAACTGTAATATATTTAGTGGATTTCTGCCTCTATTTTTCTTTCCGATCTCCCAAAAAAAAAAAAAAATGTGGTTATAATATTTCGAAATATATCTCGTGACTGACATGCGTACATTATATCCCTTGAATGGTGCAGATGGAGTAAACGATGAGGAAGAAGGGATACAGAACAACTCTAATGCAATAAACAGAACGTGTAGAGTTTTTATGATTGAGGTGAGTTTAAATTACTTATATATGTATGTATAGGTTTGTACGGTGTAGACAGTGTATGGTGAATCCTTGTATAGATGTATGTGTAGTGAACGGATGTGCATAGATGTATGTTTAGGTGAGAAAACTTAGATTGCCATATTAAAATAACTTTTGAGTGTTGAATTGCATAACTGTGAAAAGAAATCGAACATGGCTCTTGTCATTTGCCATGTCATTTGATCGTTAGCGATGCTAGTAGTTTGGTTTTGTCTTCATATCGTATTTGCCATCATCACTCTAGTTCTTTTAATTTGGCAATAAAAGTTTTCTCCACAACACATAGTTTAGGTGAAGATTTAGATTTTAGGTGAGGAATTAAGATACTTACTGATGGATTTAGATTTAGCTGAAGTTATTTAGGAAGGAAACATGAATAATTGACACTTAATAGAAACCCAAAGTTTTTTTCCTGTTCGGTGTTTGTGTTCGTGTCTGTTTTTTAGTTTAGAAACAGAGATAGATTGTTCGGAGTTTCCTCGGAGAATATGAAACTCAAATTCGCTTCCGGTCGATGCTTTTCAAACCCCCCACTATAATGGTACAAAATCATCTCTTTCGTTTTATTTTTGTTTGGTTAATAGATTTGTTTGTGTAGTGTGTGGATAGACGTATGTATAAGTGGAGTAGCGTATGAATCCTTGTATAGATGTGTAGGGAATGGATGTGCATAGATGTGTATGTTTCGGTGCGAATGTAGACTAGAGAACAATTGCTGGAACTAAAATCATCTCCACCAATCAAAAATCGAGGAGGAAATTTAGATTGTCGGATTAAAGTAATTTTAGAGTGTTGAACCGCATAGCTATGAAAACAAATCGAACATGGCTCCTGTCAATTGACCATTCACTTGATCGTTAGAGATGCTAGTAGTTTGGTTTGTCTTCATATCTTATTTGCCAATCATCACTCAAATTCTTTTAATTTGGCAATAAAAGTTTTCGCCAAATTTTAGGTGAGGAGTTAGATTGCTAGGTTAATTAAGATTACTGATGGATTAAGAATATGGCTAAAGTTATTTAGGAAGGAAACATGAATAATCGACTTGTTAATGTTTGGTCCCTTCTAGCTCTCACCGGTTCTTGTTCTAAGATAGCATTGTAGGCCCATGGGCCACATTGAACAAGTAACATTGCAATTTCAGACAAGTGGAGATAACCTGTCGTACAAGTAACAAATGTTTTGTTTTTTTTCGCTAACAAAAGTAAGAATTTATTAACTCAAACCATAAAACTACATAAAAATATTCTACCTTGGATACGGAGATTAAATAATAGATCATATTAATAGGAAACAACTAACAATAATTAAAAGAAAAAGTCAAACATATAATATTGTTAGATCAGGATCGTGATTCTTGGTTCAGGGTCGAGATTAA